TGAACAGAATTGTGCCTAACCTCAAATAATGTTTTAGGCACGTCATCCGCTCCTAGGGAAAACAAGTGAATGACGTCAAATGTACCCAAGAGTTTAATTTTTGGTTTGACATATTAGACAAGTCATCCGCTCCTAGGAGAAAAAAGTGAATGATGTGTGTCAGACGTCAAATGTACCCAAGGGGTTAAAATTGTGCGGAACTAGTAATGATTAGATTCATCTTCCTTCAATTTTGTTTTCTCAAGAATATATGTGTTAATATTTATGTTCAAAAATGTGACTATTAGAAATTATATAAAACATGTATTGAAGTAGAAATAAGCTTTCCGACAGAAATTCAACGAATAGCGCGAGTAATATAATCACAATCTATCTGAATATTCAAGAAAGTCGTCTGGACAACAGGTTTGTTTCCTATTTATTTATTATTATGCACATTCGGGACTGCTATTTTTATATATATATAGCAGACATTGCCAAACTGCGGCTCGCGACTTTGCGGATCTTCGGCCTAATAAATGCAACTTGCTGTCAACAAAGTTGGGTTTTCAACATACAATTGCATTTTGAAATAGAAAGCATGCAATGACGCTTTTCTTTACTAATTACTAATTTGATTTCTTAAATTATATTAAACATGTATCAATTTAATCGATTTGAAAATGTCCTCTGCAAGTTTATTGTCAGAATAAAAAACAGATTTGCAAATAGCTCCATTTCTGCCATCGTACATTTTTTTAGAGCAGATAATGGCCTTTGGAATAGCATAAAATATACAAGGGGAATTTAAAAGTAATGCTCTCCAATTGTTTTTTCTCAAGTTAATTTTATTTCAGGCAGTTCCTGCTTACATTCTCTCTGCGCAAACTCCTTGCTTCACAATGACAGTCTTGATCCATTGTTTTGGAATATTTGCTATTTCTACTCTACTAAAGAAATAATCGCTTAAGTTCAAGAACAGAAACATCAAACTCAAGAAAGGTTAATCACCCTTTATTGCTGAAAATAAAGTTGACAGATGATCCCTTTCTCAGGATGTACAACAAAGCCTCCACTTGGGCTTAAACTCAAAAATCTAAGAGATAAGAACTTAACTAATGACTAACTAAAGATATTTAGCTGATGCTAACAGAGTTTCTAAACGAGTTGGTCCATAATATTAAATTAGCTAATGAAGCTATGTAAACGCACTTAATGCAGCCGAACGTAGTAACTGCGTAGAGATATGTAGCCAAAAGGTAAATGTGTGCTATTCAGGAAATCTAATTCTCTAAGTCAGTAGAACTTAAATACTATTCCGTCGCATTTGCATTTAACACGATTCTAAAAACTCATTTTGGTAAGGAATTGTAAGCTCAAATTAGAAGAGATAGGAAAGTGTGACAAACTTAAAATAACTATCATAAACTTAGGGTATACTTTATACACTTATACTAAGTGCTGCAGTAACACGTTTTGCACGTGAAACATATTTTTTCATTGACACGTTTGCACATAAAACATATTTTTTCATTATTTCATTTTTATTATTGCTGTTTGACTTCTAAATTAAAATATGTTTTCACATTTCACATCTTTTGCAATAATAATGCCTTGATAATTTTAACTCTTTGACGCACGGTGGTCGCACCGGGAAACCACCAATTTTTGAATTTTTTTTTCCTCTTCTTTCCAACATTTTTGAGTGAAAATCAATTGATTATTGGTCTATTACCTCTAAATAATACAAAATGACTGCAGAATCATACATGTTTTATTTCTTAGTACTTCAAATCGGATGCCTTTTAAAATTTGTTTTCAATGAGGCAAAATAATTTCTTTTTATTAATATAAACAACTTTAAATTTTAAAAGTTATTTATCGCACATCATGATTTCTATCATAAACAATAAAAAATTGCAATAATTAAACTGTATATATATAATATATATATATATATATATATATATATAAACCTTCTATATGTAGGGCAATTTGCTTTGTGGTTTCAGGGTGCGACCACTGCCCCACTAGAGCATTGTGTCACAATCCTCTAGAGCAGGGATGGGCGAACTACAGCCCGTCGGAAGGTTCTGTCCCGCCCATGGATAGAATTTTAATTTGCCGGTTCGAGACAAATTAAAAGAACTACTTTTCTACTTTCTTTAAATATTATTTTTTTCTTCCTTTTTTTCAAAGGACAAATAATCTTTTTACTTTCTCTATTTTTGTTCTACAAACATAAATCGGCGGAAATAGCAAGCATAGACAGGTTTCAATCGGTAAAGTATTAAAAGCGGAAGTTCTTTGTTAGTTATAGCTGTAGATTGGTGCGAACAAGCGTTTTCTTTCTTTCTCGGGAAGCAGACATGTAGGAAACCAATATCGGTGAATTAGACCTCGCATGTGGCAGACTGCACATTTTAAGATACAGCCAGCAGCTTTTTCTTTTAGCGCGAGTTCTAATATTATTGATTGTATATGGAAAGATTGCGGACATATAGCATCATTGTGGTAAAATTATTAAAAGTATAGCATAGCTAGTGCTGGTTTAGGTTATTCATAAAATATTTCAACCTTAAAATGGGTACTAAAAACATTGAGTTAATTCAGAGTGCCATGCTTTTAATGATAAATGGACCTGGAAATATTTTTTACAGTTGTAAAAGATAAACCAGTGTGTCTTATCTGCAATGAAGTTGTAACAGTCTTCAAACAATATAACATTTCACATCTAATCATATAAATTCCAATTATGAAGCAATGCCGAATATGAAAGAAAAACAAAATGCAGAAAGCCTTTGTAAAAAACTACCAGGCTGACAAAATTTTTTCAAGAAGTAAACAGTATCCAGGAAGCAGCTACATATGCAAGTTACATTGTAGCATACAATATTGTAAAAAATAATAAAGCTCTCAGTGATGGGGAGTTTGTTAAACAATGCATGCTCCAAGTTTGTGATGTTTTATGTCCAGACAAGAAAAAATAATTTTGAAACTGCAAGCTTATCTCGAAAAACAGTGAATTCTAGAATCAAAGACATTGGTAAAAATATGACATTACAATTAGAGTCAAAGATTGGCCAGTTTAAATTTTGCTCCATAGCTATGGATGAAAGCACTGATATAAATGATACTTACTGCTCAATTAGTATTATTTATAAAAGGTGTTGATAAGAACTTGGAAATTACCGAGGAACTTGCATGCATGCGTTCTTTAAACGGGATGTGATATTTTTCAGGAATTTCAGGAAGGGCTTTTAACTTTGAAAGTGCCTATAACAAATAAATGCAATATTACGACTGATTAAGCACCAAATATAGTAGGAAAAAAATCTGTATTTCTTGGAAGCTTTAATCAAAACTATCCTGAAAACATTGTTGTTTTTTGCATTGTGTTTTACATCAAGATGCTCTGTGTAAATCTGCATTGAATATGAAACCCATGCTTGATGCAGTCGTGAAGCTTGTAAATTCTATTCGATCTCATGGGCTTACTCACAGGCAATTTCAAGATTTTTTTCAGTCCGTGCAATATGAATACTCTGTATTACACAAAATAAGGTGCAGGATGTGTTTCGAGTCAGTTTGGCAGTTGAAAGACGACATTGTGTCATTCATCCATGAGAAACGGTGTTTTATGGAGTGCAAAATGTTAGAAGACACAGAATGGCTTTCGGACTTTGCATTTTTCACAGATCTTCTTTGTCATATGAGCAACTTGAATGGTAAGATGCAAGGGAAAAATCAATTTATAGACAATATCTGGGCCCATCTCAAAGCTTTTAAACTAAAATTTAATCTGTCTGCTTGGTAGCTAGCTAAGAACGACTTGTCTCATTTCCCAAGATTAAAATCAATACCCTTAATAAATGGAGATAAGCTTAAGAACTATGAAGATGGCTTTAAAAAATTGCATTTGGAGTTTGAATGCTGATTTCAAGATTTCAGTGCCATTCAAAGGTAATTGGATATTTTTACCATGCCTTTCAACGTACATTATGAAGCAGTGAGGTCAGATTTGTAGCTTGAATTAATTGTGTTATAATCTAATTATCATCTGAAGCACTTGTTTCTAAATATATCAAAGTTAGGGTTTTACAAATCATTATCCAAAGTAAGTTTCCAAAATTTAATATCTCACACTCAGAAAATCAGTGCTAAAGTATTTTCAACTACAGTCAAAAGTCATTAATCCGGACCTCAAAGCTACAAACTTTCTGCGCATGTGTAAACGCATAATGTGTAAATTTTATGTTCCCGATGAAAAGAAACTAAACAACACTGGACATATACCAGTGAAATTTAGATCCAGGCAGTTTACATTTTGTAGCACAAGGAAGAAACCTCATAGAACAAGATACATGTGCGAAACGTGCAATGTGGGTCTATGCATGTACCAAAAAAGATAAAACATGCTTTGAAGAGTGTCACAAAAAAAATTTTTATTTGAAATTTAAAAAAAAGGCCACTGTTTTTTTTTTTTTTTTTTTTTTTTTTAAATCCATTTAGCCAAACATCCTTATTATGTAGGAACTAATATTTTCACTGCTATAGAAAAATTACCTAAATGTTTATTTTTTAATTTTTCTGACAATGTGCTTTGTAAAATAATGTAAAAAATATAAATAATGCAATTCTTACATACATTTTTTTTAAATTGGTAAATTTCGTCATTTATTGGAAACCACGGAGAAAGGTAAGTTTTTTCCCCTTCTACCTCAGTAAGTTTCAAAGTCCTAGATGTGCGGTCGTTTCACAGTGTGACCACCATCCACAGAACAATGGGCAAGAGTAGATTTTTTTAATTCATATGTTATTTGTCTCTAGGATCATAATATTCAATTTCTAGAGTTTTTAGTTTAAAAAAATTATACAAAATAATATTGCGCACATCAAAGGATTAATTTGATAAAAAGAGTGTCATGTACTGTTTGTTATTAGAATTAGGTATCTTTTTTGTTTATTGAGTTGACTTCATGACATACATTGCATCATGTTCTTTATATTTTTCAATAAAGGTCTATGTTGAGTTCACCTCCAATGAAAAGGAGCCATGCTGTGCCAGTAAGGAAGGGTTCACATTCTCCACGACTTCGTTCCATTGCATCATCACCTCATAGATCAATAACTCGACGCAGCAACCAAGGTTCTCCCATACCCATGGACAGGTATCATCTTTCTAATTATGGTCAGAATCTTCAGAACAACGATCTGAATACCACAAGCTACAAAGTTATGAATTATACATATCAATTTTGTTCATTGTTAAATGATGATCTGCTAATATCATCATCATCTTGAAAATACATCTGCAACAATTTTGTTATTTGCAATTGCATTTATGGGAAACAAATAACAGGGTTTGTTTGGGACCTGTTAATGGAAATTGACAATTATTTATCACCAGGAAATTTCTAGCTTTACAAAAGAAGCATAGAAGTTTAATTGGAAATTGGGCAATGCTTGTTTTCCTGGGGACAAATTCAAGATATTTTATTTTTATTCCACAAATAGGTTTAATTAATGATGGCATAATTTTGTGAATCTAATTGTGGAATTTTGTTATGTGTATTACTGCGATAAAGCATTTTACAAATTTTACATTTGTTTAACTTAAGAAATACAGTGAACAACAAAAAAGAATGAGTAGTTATAAATACAAGGTAAAACATCAAAAATGAAAAATGTTTTCTGTTTTGTTAGGCTTGGTATAGTGCAGATACCTGAATAAATATGTCAAGTCCAGAATGAGAATAGCAGCTATGCAAGTCATCCATCTGGATCGATTTTTAATAAGAAGTGTGTTTTGAAGATCAAATCTTAGAAGGATTGTATAATTCCAGTATTTAATTTTTCAGAAAATGTCATACTGAGCCAGTCAGGGACAAGAAGGAACAGTGAATCACAGGAAATAAGTTTGAAGTGGAGGTATCTGAATCTTGTCATAAAGCTAGAAAATACAACAGAATCTAATTACAGTTGAATACTAGAAAAAGTATTTGGGATAAATTGCTTGTATTGAATGATTTTTCTTTCTGAAAATATTCTAACAAAGAGGGAAATTTTTTACCAAAAGTATTTTGAAAATACAGCAGGTTTGTGAATTGAAGCTATAATGGATCCCAACTTGCATTTGAGTGATAATATTGTGAATGACTTTTATTATAAGTCTGGCATATTCATATTTTTCCAAATAAGCTGTGGAGATGGTAATTCTGCAAAGTGAATGCTAAAGAGAGCAAGTTCTTATGAATAGAGTTGCAGCTGTTAAAAGTTCATTTTAGTTATATCTGAACTGCTATTAGAATTTTTTCCTGTATAAAAAACAAAATAATACTTACAAAATGGGACATTTCAGTTAGGTTTATGCTGATCTGTTTTTTCTTACTTGATCTGGAGATAAGTGTGGTGAGATCTTTGAATAATATATATGTATATATTTTTCCTTTAAAGTATTTGGCTTGTCAGCTGTTAGAGAGATTATTCTTATTTATCCATTACTTTTATCTTGAAAGTAAATTTTATTTTTCTGCACTGTTAAACAAGTCTTTTTTTTTTTTTCCTGGTTTTTTTTAATTCAAAATTTATAATTGTTAATAAGCTGCTATTCTTGCTGTGTGAGACATGTAGACCTCGGTAATCTATGTGTTGCTAAACTACTAGTTGTTTAAGAAACCATTTCTTTCTTTATTTTCTTTCCCTTTTTATTATTTCTATTATGGAAGGAAAAGCTCTTAAATATTATTGATCAACTGTTACAAAGTTGTTGAACTCACCAGGACTTCACAAAAATTTCAAAGTTATAAAGCCAAGAAGAAAAGTCCATGTTGTTGATCCTATAATTCTTACTCAAACTTGCTTATCATTTCTAAAATGGTTTTATAATGTTTAATATTATGATTTGGCTGTAGAAGAGATTCAAAATTATCTGCTATATCATGTTCCATAATGCTACTAGATACTTTGATGAATTCACCTAAGTATTTTAGTTGAATAAGCTTGGTTATTTGTTTTCATACTTTTTTTAAAGAAGATTTTTAAAAGTATCAAGATATTATTAAGTTGAATATCATTTAATAAAATTCAAGGAAATATGTAAATAATTGAATATGCTGTTATGGAATTTTATCACCATCATTGGGTTATATTTTTGATGCAGATAATTGTGTATAAATAGGAATTTTTTTTGGGGGGGGACAAAGATGCTTGATTATAGCATTCAGTATCTTTTTATTATTCAGATCAGTGGTTAATTAAAACACATTAAAAATTATTTAAAAAAGATTTTTTTTATTGAAATATCCATATGGTTTTTAAATGGCTTACTTTGTTACATTGATATGCTATATACTTTATACCTAGGAAAGTAAATGAAAGTTCTAATATTTTGTAGATGACAACCACTCTATAATTTATCCTAAATGAAAGCTTTAGTGCTGTGCAAATGAGTATTATTGTATTGTTTTTCCTGAACAGAAATTTCTTCACAAATCGAAAACAGTTATATCTGAAAGTGTTTTTAAGGTGTGACTTCAGTGAAAATATTTCAGCATTAATTTTAAAAAAAATAAAAATTGTAATCATGGTATTGTAAGATTTTATAAAAATATACAAAGTGCCAGGCTCTGAGGAGAATTTTATGAATACCAAATTGATAATTTATCAGAATATAGCAGTGAAAGCTTAATGCTTGTTACTGATGTTTCATGAATTAGTGAATATGTGATGCATTATAGAAATTTTCAGCATTATTTTCTCCCCCTTTCCAATAAGAAGCTATGAAGTAAATTTACGTCAAGGTAATTCCAAGAAAGGGCCGTATAGAATTTAAACATTATTTTCCATAAATACTAGCTTGTTATGCAATATAAATATCATCTTGTTGAAATTTTTTTAAATACTTTTTATGGAAGATATCTGAAATCCACAGGCTGCCTGTGGCATTCTGAACCTGTTGCTACTACTGATAAAACCAAAAGTGAATGAATCAGTGAATGTATGCAATGTTAAATTTCAAAAGAATTATTTGAATGAATTTTATTTTCTGTGATTTATTTACATTAAAGTCACAAACAAATTACAGATGATGTTCCAAAAATAATAGCCTCTGAAATTTAAATCATAGGAGTTTCATATTTACAGCAACATTTGGGAGCTGTCGCCATATAAAGAGCAAAAAATATATGATGAATGCTGATTGCCATTTTGTCAGAGGGCTATGAAGATGTCTAAAAATATCATTTGCAGTTAAGGGCATTTCATTAATTTCAAGATGCCTAAAAATATCATTTGCAGTTGAGGACATTCATTGCCCAATTCTCAGTTGATACCAAACTTACTTGCAAGTGTGATGTGTGACCAGGGGGTGGGAAGTATATTTTAAATAAAGAAAATTTTTTATTGTGTTGTGAACAATCTTTGTTCCTGGCATCTTTTTTTGAAAGCATATGTCATATCAGCTATTTTTTCCTATATAAAGTATACAAAAATTAAAATAAGAACAAAAATTTCAGGTGAACATCTTAATTATATTCTTTAGAGTCATTGCCATGTCTGTTAAACTAAATACAAATGCTATGATATTCAAAAAATAAACTTGGTATTCACATTAAAAATATTCTGATCATATTTTTATCTAATATCTTTTAGATTAAAAAGGAAACATAATTTTTATCAGATATAAGTATGCATTTGTAGATTCAAAAGTCTCATATAATGCTTATATTTTTCTCAAACTTTATAAATGCAACTTTTGTCACAATTTTTTGGAACTATTTTTTGGAGAAAGTTCCTAAAGAGATGGACATCCATGATTAAACGTGAAGGGGAAGAAAACATTTTGAGAATGTGGTTATTAATTTAACTAAATATTTCCTTGCAATTAATGAGCTATATTGCAATATTCAAGAAAGTCTGAAATGATAATTTTGAATTTATATATGTACTATATATTATCTTCAGCTAAAAGATGTCAAATATAAATCAACTGACCTTTTGTGAAAATATAAAGCAATTGCAAACTGAAGGCTGAATAGTGATTAATGTTAATTTGTTCTTGATTTGATATTAAAAAATATTTTTATAACCAGAGAAGAAATTCATCTAAAGTAGTGTCATAGCTCATTATATATTTTTCTGAAACAGGTAATAGACTTACAGTATTTTTAAGAGATCAAGAATGAAATTTAATATTTTCACCAGCAGATAAAAGTTAACCTGCTTCATGCATACTTCATTACCTTATTCATTCCTTTTTTTGGCTTTATTATTTATTTTTTTCTTTTGATTAATGCAAAAGTTGATGATATCCATAAGAAGATCATAGATTTGAGTGCAAAAAAGTCAAAATATGAATTATAAACTTCAGTCAAAAGTATTTATAAATTTGAGTGTTTGGCATAATTTGAAAAATAATAAATTTCATTAAGTTATGGTATAATATTATGCATAACATTATGGTAAACTTCTATTGGAATATTGGAAATGTGCAAAAAAATCTCTCTATTTTAGTTATGATTTCAGATCATTTATCATTTCATAAAGTCTTTAAAAATTTTACATTAGTCTTTCCCTCAAATTAAAGGATTGTGTATCTGCAGTATTAAGGGTATGAATTAGATTTATTCCAAATAAAATTTTTCATTTTTTAAGTAATGTGAATGCGCTAGCAAAAAAAAAAAAAAAAAAAAAAAAAGTTAGTGTGTACATGAAACTTTTGTAGGCAGAATGTATGATAAAAGACTTTATGTTAGTTTAATGTAGTTCGTGTCACATCAAGGACCTGAATGGGCTTTTAATAACTAACCAACCATTTCAAGATATAATTCTTCATGCTTAGAAATTTTTCTGCGTGTGAAATAAAACTGAATTTTCTTCTATTGTAGCAAGGTTTGTAATCAAAAAACAGTTACTTAGAGCATTGATCTTCAAAACTGAATAAAATATTTTTGCCTGTGATATTTTCAGTTCTAAGATTCACTGGAAAAAAATGTCCAGGATGTACAGAATCTTGTGCTCAAAGTCATTTTTTACAAATTTTGTGATACTTATGTAAGTATTATGAAGGAAGAATAAAATTCAAATTTGTGAAATACAAAAGGGAGAAAAGTGCCTTAATTTGACATAACTGATGTTAAATAAAGAATGAGTTGTTTTACAAAAATATTTTAGAAACATTAAAACACATTTGCTTAATTAATGAAAACTATATATTTCTTTTTCCTGGATCTATAATCATGATCTGAATATATATACTTAGTTTATGCTGATAGCGTATATGTATTTATATTTGTACATTTTGTGTTTGGATTTAAATTGTTAATTTAGCTGAGACAAAGTGTGGAATATATGCAGCAAATTGATTTGTATAGTTAGTATCATTAGTTCTTGTTACCGAATTTCATTGATATAGAAAATCTCCAACATGAAAGTAAAGTCAGTGCCAGATTCTTATTTCTAGAAATGTATATTTTTTTACAGAAGTAATTCCAAGAAAAATATTGAACTAACATATATATGTACTATCAAGAAAATTTTTTAATTTGTAAATTTCAAATCTTCAATGTGAAAATAACATGGAAATGCTATACTAGAAATTGCTGAAATATTTATGAAGAATGAGTATATTTCCAAGCTCTTGCTTGCTTTGAAGCAAGGCACATCTGTTGAAGAATAGAGTAGAAATAAAATTAAATATGAATGCAAATAAGATGAAGATAAAGAAATAAGTAAAGAATTTATTTATTTATTTTGAAATACGATTGACTGGTCTTGTTCAAAATAAGGTCGGCTTGCAAATATAGTGAAGCTTATTTTTAAAATCAGTATAGTAGTCAAATGAAACTTGTATCCTGAAATATTTGTATGTTTGCATTGTATATTTTAGCACCTAAGAAGTTAACTGTGTGAAAGATCTAAATAGTTTTTAATATCTAAATACTTTTTGCATATATTCTAAAATTCATTTGTTGCATTCATCATATTTTGCATCATTTTACCTAAAATGAACATGAAGAAAGAAAAAAAAATTAAATTGCTATTAATATGAACTGTTTTTAATGAGATCAATTTGGAAAGTGACATAAAAAAATAGGTATTTAGGAATGATTTGGATATTGAAGAAAATTCTACATTTAGTTCTTTTAATTATTATTAAAAAAACTTTTATAATTCTTTTGAAAGCCATCAAGTACAAGCCAATTTATGATTTAGTTAAACAAATTTGTGCAGCTTGTATGCATTTATCAAATTTAAAAGGAGAAGAATTTGAAGGATGCAGAAGATATAAAAATGGATAAGAATTTTCCCATCATTTATTGGAACTTTTTAATATGTTTTCTGTAATTCTGCAGAAGACATTCAAAGCCATTGACAAAATGCCTAAAATTTGGCACACATACTGCAAGTGAATGATGAAAGCAAGAAGTTAGAAGACTAAATATGTTATATATGCACTATGTATGGGTATATATGGACTTTCTGAACAACTTTGTTTTTTCATTATCAGTTTTGCCTTTGGCTAAAGAATTTGAATCGCCATCCGAAAGAGATTTAATGATCTATGTCATTAAATCATGTAATAAATTATTTGCTTGCTAAGCCAAAGTAGTTAGTTATTTATGTGCAATATGCAATGGAAACTCTTTTGTTAGTGGAAAAGCTATTAATCAAATTATCACATATTTGTTTTAACACTTAATTACTGTTTTGACAGTCATTATGCATTGTTTAAGTGAAAAAATTGCATTTAAAAGTATGAATATCTTAGAAAATCCTAGAATCATCGTTTTCTTAATTTTAAAGAAGATGCAAGTAACAATGTTAAAAAAAGAATGTTCATTTTAAAATTGAGAATAAATTTGTTTCACTTTTGCTAATGCCTATAACCATTAGCAGACTGCTGGTTTCATGGAATTAACATGCCACTATATGCTCATTTTTTATCTCAACTTAAGTAGCAATATCTGTGTGATGACCAATTTATATGTCTTTTACTTTGTTACGTAGTCAGGGCAAATATATTAAAACAGTATATGATTTAAAATAAAATCTTAAAGTAGAGAAAACAGTATCCCCTCCTTCTACATCAGTCTGTAGCCATATCTGCCATGAGATTTCTGGCAGCCCAATAAAATTTAGCATTGGTAAAGTTGTTGGAATTAAAAGGAAAAAAATCAAGTGCAATGCAAGTTGTCAAATGAAAAAAGTCCATGGTTTCATCTGACAGACAAAGAGGACAGACATCATTAGCAACTACACTAATGGAGTGCAAGTGTTTATATAGAAAGTCATGTTCTGTTGAGAAATGAAAATTTGCCATAAAAATTGCATGTCCATTGGGATAGGCGAAAATGCAAGAGTATTCCACACTTTATCAGTTGAAAGGAGTTTATACTTTTGTTTTAAGAGTTGGTCCAGTTTCTTCATTACCTCAGAACTAAACTGATAGCTGGATAGAGATGAAAGAAAACAGTAGTAAAAAATTGAAAATCAAGAATACGTTTATTGCTTTACATTGGCATATAACTTGATTATGAATATGTAGCATAAAAGAACAGATTTTAATAATAAATTGTAATGCACCTAAAATTGATCAGTTAGTTTTCTATTCAGAATTGCATTACTGTCAGGAAAATTCAGAAGTAAGACAGTGAAATTTATTTTCATCAAGCGAATAATCTGAAATAATATCACGGTGTTTTATCTATTTAATAATATTGTTCAAACTCAAATTTTCCTAAAATATCCAGATTATAGTAGTCATTATATAAACTTCGAAAATAAATTTTGAAAAAATATTGATTTACTCTCGATTATCTGATTTGCAAATTATCTAGGTGGGGGCACTGCCATTACTGAACGTATGCTGAGGAAAAGGTTGATTTTCTGAAGTTCTCAAAATTGTTGACTGTATTAGATGTCAAATATGGAGTGGCAAAAGCTTAGTCAAAGGTAAAACAGTAACACTGGTTCAGTCATGGAGAAAGATTCTTCCTAATATGGAAATCGAAGATTTATCTAAATGTGAAAAGGCAATAACTGAAGTTGTATGACAAAAAACTGAAAATATAAAATTCTTCAGTATTTATCAAAGAAAAGTATCGATCGAAGAAACATTGAGGAATTTTTTGATGGGGATTCAACTAAGCTGCTCTTTCAGTGTTAAGAGTGATGCAGGTAACATTTCAATTGTAACAAGAACAGTAGATGCAGAAATTGATGGAAATACAAACAAAGAAGCTACTGACAATTTCATTAGAACTGAGACAGCAATGACTTCTCTTGAAACTCTGTTGCACTTTGTCAACCAAAGAGGATTCGAATACAATCACAAAATAGTGCTTCGGGAAGAAAACTCAATGAAATTTGACTAATATTTAACTGTTTTCAAAAAAAAAAAAAAAAAAAAAAAAAAAAAAAAAAAAAGGATTTGAGAAATTAACACAATTAGTGTGCATGAAAGTTGATAATTTTGATTATACATATTTTGAAATTATCTATGATTTTCATCCACCATATTAACCTAAATTATCAAAAGTACATTGTACTTACCTTGTCAATCAAAAGAAGATGAATCATAGAGAGACATTTATATTTGATTATATAAAACCATTTGAAAACATATTCTCCAAATATTTTGGTAATTTTTTTTAAAGTGCCCTTTCTTATGCAGTATTTTGTTGTGTAATTATTAACTGCACATCAGTCAGTTTGCTGATATAAACTTTTATTTCTGCTTCATGAAGATTTACAGTATTATTAACTTTTCTGAATGTCTGTAGTACCTATTTGAATAAGTTAACAAATTCCAAGATTTAAAATATTGACAAGAAATTTTGCAAGCTTTGGTGTGAGGATTGGTTTCTGCCTGAAGCATATTTTGTTATTCTGAGTTTTGTAGCATCATCTCTACAAGCAAAATCACAATGCACATAATTTTAAGTGCAATTTAATGTCAAGTGCAGGGGGAAAAAGAAAATTACTTTTATATGTCAGTTTTGGATAAGAAGCTGTGTTATAACATGGTTCAAACAGTACTTTTTGGGAAGGTATGTATGCTTGTATCTATTGTACCTGAGATATTTTTTTAATGAGTATTTTATCTTTGAAAAGTTAACTTCTGCTTATTTTACTAGTTATTTTTTGTTTAAAATGTATTTCAGATAAATGTGTATGTTTAAAGTTATTTGAATTAAATTTTTAACATCCTTTGTAATTGAAATTGTGTTCTAAAAACATTATTACCTGTACATCCCACACATAAGGAAACATATTGCAACATTAAATATCTATCTATCTCTCTCTATATATATATGTAATGTTTTAGAATTCGTAGCATAAAGAGACCTAAATTTGAGAAAAGGAAAAATTCACCATCTCCAGTTGGTCATCATGTACCTGTTTCACACGGACCGCCAACTTCACTTGGCCCTCGAAGTATTTCTCCATACCATGGTGAAAGATATCTTAGTTCTAGATCAGCACCTCATTATGATCCATCAACAAAGAAAAAACTCCGCCGGTAAGAATTATACTAAGCTGTTTAGTACTGGAAATGGAACACTGTTTAAATCTCGAATGCTTATAATTTTATGTTATTTTTTAAAAATTGTCATGTTTTTTGTAAATTATAATTTAAAATAATTCTTTAATAACTTAGAAAAATTAAAGATATATTTTTTGTATAATTTTAATATTAATATAAAATATATTTTTTGTAATGTCCACATTATCTATAAATATTCTCATTCATTTTTCATTGTCAGGACTGACTAATGAAAACCAATGAACATAGGTAGTTTCTTATTGTGCCATTTTGATTCAAGATAATAGATTTTATTGTTTTTGTATGTTGCTGTAGCTACATCGGGACTAAACTATGTGTAATACATTTATTATGCTGCAATACCTTCTCTGAATTATGAGGTGTAAAATTATAGGGTATAAAAGTATATAAGAGCATGTATATAAATTAATTATGTCAGAAGACGATAAAATTTTTGTCCGTTATAAGAGATGTTCACTGATATTTTTTTTATGAAAATCCAAATTGCATGTGTACGTTTAATATTTCCAAATATATTTTGGTTTGAGTTATGCATACACCAAAATAACATTTTTAGAAATATGAAAAACTACATCAAAACCTTCTAAATTTGATTTTAAAGGGATTAAGGAATTTCCTTTTTGATTAAAATGATTTATGGACCATTCTTTAATTACTGTTTATGAAAGAATAATAGCCTGTATTGTATCAAAGTGGGTTGTGAAACAGCAAAGCCATAGTACACATTATGAAACAGCAATCCAGAATTTCAGTTTTTTAAAGGAATCATTTGGGTTTTGTTTTTAGGTATGTGGAAAAAACTTGCAACAGCATTTGGAGGTATATTTTATTTTGTGATCTTTATTGGATTGTATGGAAGTTTGCCCATTTTTATTTATAATTTTCTGAAAATCTGAGCTTTCTAAATAAAAATTCAATTTTTCTAGTAACTAGTTTTATCCCAAAGTACCACAAGCTGTATGTTGAGTGTTAAATGGTTAGCCCGAAGGGGCAGTTTATCCAGAAGGTCTATTAATTTCGTTTTGGCATTTTGCATTGATTCTCTATAAATGGCAAATCACTTTTTAAATTGTTGCCACCAAATATTAGAGCCTTTATTATATTTAAAGGAATTAAAGAATGAAGAATCTGCATAAATATATGTAGGTTGTGATAAAACAGTGGTACCTAGAACCATCAAATTTTGAATTACATATGTCTCAACCCAAATACGGACATCTGGAAGCCCAAATTTGTAATTTGTTTTGTTATCTATTTCATATTTTGTAAAGCATTTATGAGATTTTGATTAAGAAACTCAACAATTTCAAAACAAGCAATGGCAACACTGTATGGGGGCGGGGATTATCTCCATCGCGAGATTGTGTAGCGGAAATTCTAAAGGTATACTGATTTTACATATTTCGACATATTGTTGTTGATTTGATGTGGCTTAAGTGCAAAGAACACGTTATTTAATAAATAAAGGTAACTTTTAAAACATTTTAAAAAATAGCCCATCTAGGCATAATATAAAATCTAAAATTTAAAATTTCTTTCGGCTTTTTTACTTTCTTGATACGAAGTAAAAAGGAAGTATTGTAATCGCGAAAAGTTTCAGGCAGCATATTTCGACAAAAATATCCATTTTGAGTGCTGTTGAATGCAATTTAACGATGCTTTTGCATAATATCTGTACGTACGGACAGAATAAAAGACTCTTTTCCTCCAAAAAAAAGTATAAAATTGCTTTAAAATGAATTCTGAAGAGAATTTTTCGTGGCGTCTGTATGAACGTATGTACGTATGTATCTCGCATAACTCAAAAACGAGTAGCCTCAGAACGTTGAAATTTTGTATATAGGACTACTATAACATGTAGATGTGCACCTCGTGTTTTGGTTGCAATCTGCCACACCAAACGTATATAAGTATCTTTTATATATATATCCATTCTGTTACCCGGCTCAGTGATCTCAGTTTTTTTACTCTTACATGTTTGTAAATTGTACATTTTTTGCTTTAAAAATGATTGAATTATGTTGTTCTTATCTTCTGGTTAAAGTCTTTCTGCCTTTAGTAAATCTGTATTCAATATTTTTAGAATTATGAACAATTTTAAAGTTATTTAAGTGCCGCTAAGCCTAATAATCTTTTTTGGTGGCGGCCATTGCTTGTTTACATTTGAAACAGCAGAATAGTAGATTTGTTGCCAATCCAGAGAAACTTAGCAACAACAACAAAGATAACGCCTTCATTTATTATTGCGAATTAAATCATGCTTAATCCTTTCTGGAATTTTTTCGAGGAAATAAGATTTTCTTTGTAATTCTTAATACAGATGTTTTGAGTTTTTATGTATTTTTGCCTTTTTGCGAAGTGAGAACTGGATTAATTGAATGAGAAATACTCAATCGTCTGTGAAAAACTGGTTTCTTTTAGTTTTGTTTGCTTAATTTCTTTTATACACCGTTCTTGCTTTATTATAGTACTTGAATAGAACACGTGGCAATAATTAGATAATTCTTTAACTGATATAAATTTTGTGCATTCTGAGTTATAATATGAACGAAATATAATACTGTTAAGTGAACCTAGCGCCAGTATCGCTACGGTAAACAAATAGAGCGAGTTTTAAAGAATGCATTTATTCTATTGTGGTTTATGTGTTGTTGGCGAAGTAGATTTAATTCAATCCAACAAGTTTAAATGAAATGCAAGAAAAAATGCATATAATTTAGTATTCCGTATAAGGAAGTCATGTGTCGTACACATCAGATTTTTTTAATTTTAAACTCGTTTTAAAAACTTCTTTCTCCTATGAGAGATGATATGCAGATAAACTGCCAAAGCATTGATATGAGTTATGTTTAAAAACAACTTCAAATTGCTCTAAACAAGATTGCAATGCTTACCAACATGATTAAGTTTTCCAAGCCAGATTATTTGGATACATATCCACCTCAGGACAATTCTTCATCTTTAACTAGAATTTTGTCTACTCATATTATTTATTTTTGTAATACCAGAAGTTAAATTTTCTGCAGTTATATTTTATAAGGAAAAAATAACTTTTCCTCCAAAATATAACCACAGGGAATTCTACTTCTAGTTCAAACTTCCATTTGGTTAGGGGAACATTTGTAATAGTTGGATCTGCAAATACCTCCCATAATATTAATTTCAGCTCAGTAATATGCATGGGGCTTTAATTTTATCGAGGCTTCATAGGTTTATGGCCCTGTATGATCATTTGTGCTATCTTAATATGATCTTGTTTATTAATGCACTTAATATTGAAATGTTAAAGAGCTAACTGAGTGTTAAAATTTTATTTGTAAATCAGATTCTACTAATGTAAAAACATTTCTCCTATCTCTTAACACATTAAAATGTTTTAATGATACATTTTTTTAACAAGTTAGAAAAAATGATAAACAATACTGTTTCTGTTTTTAAGTGTAATGAAAATTAAGATAATATTTTAGAGTTCAAAATTTAAACTTTTTTTATAATTGCTTCTAGATGATCATTAATACTTATTGAAAATGTAAAATTCTTATTTCAGGTACTCATATTTTTCAGGATTTTGAATACTTTTTCATCAAAAATGTATATTAAAGCTGCTTGTATTTTTATTATATGCTACTTCAAATTGCTACTAATTTTGAAATGTGATATTCAGACATGTTACTACAATTTGTTGTACATTTAACCCTCCATCCGGCAAGGCAGCATATATATATAAGCCTCTGTTGATATAAAATCTTCCTGCTATTTACTAAACTTCTAGACTGAGCAAATATGTGACACGATGAGACATAAAAGAAAAAATCAACCTAATTAACTGTTAATAAATAAAATGTCACTAATCTTCTTCCAAATATGTCCAGCTATTATTAAGTGTAAAATATTTAATGCTACTTGATAAAATTTCTAAAGTTTATTTTATTCTCAGATTTGTTTTATAAGTATGTTTATCAAATTATGCTTAATTATAATGCATCCTACTTACAGATCTATTTTATTCTTAGGATAGTATTACAGAATTGATTTTCAGGCATAGAAAATATCTTTAGTTGAATTTATTCAGTTCCCATTTGCTGATAGGTCCTTAATTTTTTTTTTTTTTTTTTTTTTTTAATGGTCCTTAAAAGTACTTAATTTCCATGTGCAGGTGTACCAACCCTATCTCGAGGTTGTTATGACTATTTTGATGGGTCACAAGCTTGCAATAATATTAATTTATACCAAAATGAAAAAAGTATGCTATCATTTATGAAGAAATCCATTGGAAATTATGATCTAAAATAAATGTTGCATCATAATTAAAGCTTGTGAAAATAATAACATAGGCTCCAGTTTGCAGCATATATTATTTTTTAATTAGTAAAATGCTGATTCAGAACCATGTTTACTTTTCGGATACATAATTATGCAATTTCATTGGCTGTCATGAAATAAGTGTCCAGAAACATTGTGTCCTGTCGTGCTGAGTGATCATAACTGCTAATGCAAGTACCGAAGACATATATCTGATGTGAGGCAATTATGTTTTCATTGTGTAGACAGACTAGTGCAGGTGCTACAGATGTAGAGAGGTATTTGTTTGGTTTTAGGTCTCTTCACGTAAATTGGCCTCAAGTCAAGAAACTTAGCAATTTTAAAGATGTGTGTTGCTACTTCAGTTAATAAAATAATTTTATTTTCTACATCCTAGTGATTCCCATTCCAAAAAGTATAATTAATTTTTATTTCAGATTTAACAGGGTTCGTAGCGGTCCTTACAAGTGCTTATAAGTCCTTATATTTGAAAATAAAATATAAAGGCCCTTATAGGTGCTTACTTTTTCTTTAAAAAACCTTTTTTATTTTAATGCTTATTCTTGCTTTTATCTGCTTTCTTTTCTTTTTTTTAATCCTTTGTTTTTAAGAACACGCATTTGTACCAAAGCCAAAACTAAAAACAACTTTTC